GAGGTGGCACTGCCCGTGGCTGTTGCCCCTCTGGGAGAACAGTAGCCTCATGACCAAGAGGGGCTGGCCTGTTTGGGCTGGAAGGAAAGGAGATGATGAGAGACAACCAGAGAGACTGAGAGACTTTGGGCAAATCTCTCCCCCTTGCTGACTCTCAGTCTGTCCCTCCTGTCCCCAGAGTCCCAGGCGTGAGCATCCAGCATGGCCCAGGAGGCGGGAGGCCCCTGGGACAATCTGAGACGGCACAAGACTTCCAGTATTCTGTTCAGGCCAAGGGGGTTTCCCAGGGTGCCTGCAGGGCCCAGTCCCCAAGTGCAGCCACTGATGTCTCTGGGCTGTGATTGTCAGGTATGCTAGGATTTCAGGGAGGAGCCCAGAAAACCCGACTTTTGTCTCCAAACCAGCCTTTATCTGGACAGGCCCAGTTGCCCCTAACTGTCACCAAGGAAAAACAGTGGAACACAGACTTAGAGGTGCCACCCTGCAACCAGTGGGGACTTTCTGGGTCCACCATCCCAAGCCCCATGGTGGTGTGACAGGAAGAGGAGGCTATTGGGGGACAAGGTGAGGAGGTATTTGGAGTTGGGTAGCCTGGCTCACCCCAGCACCACCCCTCTTACTCCTTACATATCCGAGGAGGCCAGCCCTTTAAAAGACATCTCAGCCCCGACTGGGACCCTAGGGCAGCGGTTCCCAATCCTGGCTGCCTGGTGGAATTCCCTGGGAGCTCTCACACGCCCTTGCCCAGCCTGGCTCTCAGATTCTCATGGATCCACAGCCCTGAAATTCCGAGGGGTTCCAGTGTATACCCAGGGCTGAGAACCGCAGAGCTCCAAGAGGTGGTTCAGGCCCTACAGCAGGAGTTCTTAAACGGGTGGTGCATTAGAATCATTTGAGGGCCTTTCAAAACAGATCACTACATCCCCCAGCCACCCACTCCCGCCCCCAAGTGATGCCCTAGGTCTGGGGTGGGCCAAGAATATGCATTTCTATCACGGTCCCAGAGGATAATAATGCTGCTGATTCCAGGACCTCACTGGAATAACCGCTGCCCTGCAGGAAGGTCCAGTTACGGCAGCCTGGCTTCGAGGGCAGCTGGAGCTTCGGCGTCTGGGGGCGCTGGGCCAGGTTCTGTGCACCCTGAAACTCTCGGGAAGAGCCCGTCCCTACGCGCTTTTAACGCGCAATCCTGAGCGCCCCCTGGTGGGCACCGTGGGCGCCGCAGCGCCTGCGGGCTTTCTTCCAGCTGCTGAGTGGTGGGAGGCAGCCCTGCGAGCCTTGGATCCCCTGGTAGTTCCAGGACCTGACCACACTCCCAGGAGTCTCCGAACCTGAGCCAGACGAGGGGCTGGGGGGTGGGCGGAGAGATCGGGTTCACCTTGGCTTCGTGCTCCGGAAAGTTAGTGGTTATGCGGAGGCGGCCTGCAGGGGGACAACTACGGGTTGGGGCTCCTTCCTCGCCTCTCTGAGCCTCAGTTTCCTCACCTGGGAAATGGGAGTGAAAACTTGCCATCGTCCTATTCCCCTAAACTTAATCCAACCCCAAAACCACGTAAAGACAATCAACCCAAATCTATCACCACAGAGACACGAACAGCCCCGAAGCCTGCAGCCTGGCACTGGAGGCGTCCGTGATGACCCGTGAATAACCCCCGTCCTCACGCCCCTGCCTCCGGGCTTTTGCAGCGCCTCAGGCAGCCGCCTGCCTCACCCCTCCCCTTCTTCGGGTCTTTGTTCAAATGTCCCCTCAGTGGGGCTTCCAGAACGACCTGAAATAGGGGGTGGTGGCCGAGCGGTCACCACTGTTGAAAGCAGTGTGTGGGGCTTTCCTGGGAGGCCTGGTGCCTGTCTCCCCCAGCGAAACCCCGTAAGGTCTGCACTTGTCCGTCCTGCTCCTGCCGCAGCGCCTGGCTACGTGTCCTTCGCGGCCCTCACGGCCCCCGCCTCCCCCGCCTCCAGGACGCCCCTTCGTCCCCCCGGAGCCGCGCTCCGGCCTCCCCCTCGGCTCCTCCCGCCTGGCGCCCTTCCAGTGCCTTCCTCGCCGGGCGCACCCGTGGCCCAGTTCTCCAGGCCCGCGTGGTCCATTCCGTCCGTCAGTCATCCGACAACCAGAAGCTGAGCAGCCACCGCGCGCGGGCCGTGCAGGCGCGGGGGACGCGACGGGGTCGCGGGGCGGGGGGCACAGGCGGACCACGCTGCCCCCAGGAAGGGCTCTGCCGGCGGCCACCCCGCGCTCACCCGCCCGCGGCCGCGTGGGACCCTGGCCTCAGCCACTGCCGGTCCCCTGCCCGCTGCGCTGCCGGCCCGCGGGCCCTGGAGGCAGGCGGCAAGTGGGAGAAGGGGGCGCATCTGGGGGCTGCTCAGGCTGCGGTGGCGGCAGCAGTGACGGGAGCCAGGGGCTCGGGAACTCGGCTCCGCTGGTGGAACCGCTTCGGCGCGGCGACCCGGGCTCCGGGCGGCACCTTCCCCGGGGCGGGAGCGGCTGGTGGCATTCCTGATCCTGGGCACCTGGCCTCCCCTTTTTGCCCTTTGCCTGCAATACCCCTCCCACCAACGCCCTCTATTAACCCGGTGACAAATACAGCCTTGTATTGTTTAGAAACACAGAAGTGTGGCAGGTGCCATCAGAGCTCTTAGACTTAAAGGGGGCACATGGGGAAGGGTCACAACTGAACAGGGTGTTCGCGGAAGCTCTCTGGGGAGAACCAGGTTTGAAGGAGACCCCCAGGAAGTGAGGCACAAACCAATGCAAATATCCTAGGGAAAGGCACTCCAGGCAGGGCCCCCATTCTCTGCACAGCAGGGAGACGTCGGTGGCTGAACCCCTTGAGAGTGGGGGGGACGGAGCAGAGCGGTGCTGTCTCAGGGGACTCTCTGCCATGGTGGAAATGTCCTGCATGCACTGGTTTGGCAGCCAGCGGGCCACATGTGGCTCTTGAGCACCTGCACTGTGGCTGGTATGGCAGTGCAAATGGATGTTCAGTCTTATTTAGATTTAATTATATTTGGATTTAAATTGTCCCCTTGGGTTGCAGTGGTTACCCTATGGAACAGAGCAGGTCTAGACCATTATAAAGATTTCAGCTTTGACCTGTGGAGACATTAAACCTTTAAAGGCTTTGGGGAGACTGCTGATTGCATCAGACATCAGCTGTGAGTTCTAAGCGGTGCCCTCTGGCAGCCCTGTAGCCTTGTGTGAGATTGGAGCAGGCAGGAAGCAGGCACCCAGGTAGGAGTAGAAGCCCCTTGCTGTGGGTCCATGGCAGAGCCTTGGAGCAAGGGCTGGGGGTGGGGTCTCCAAGGTCAAGCATGGGACCTGGGTGCTGGGTATAGAGGGTTCCAGGGCACAGAGAAGGTGAAGGGTCCAGGTTGGTGGTATGGTGAGGTAGAGTTGGATGGAGTCTAAAATGCAGGCTACAGAATGGAGCAGATTCACAGTTGTGGGGAAGGAGTGTGCTGGGAGCCAGATGTAGGGGTAATGGTTGGGGCCCCAGAAAGTGCAACTGGGTGGGCCAGGAAAGGCCAACTGGTGGCAGGGACCCCAAGATGATGGAGGGCTGGGACCCGGCAAGATACAACTGGGCAGGAGACAGTTGAGGTTGGAGCTGGGGGCAGGGCAGATAGGGCTAAGGCTAGGCAGAATTTATGTGGGCGGAGTGGGGGTCACAAGCACTGAAGAACCGGATGTCAATCAGTGACAGGGCAGCCCCAGGGTGCTCTGGCTGAACATCAGCCGTGACCGTGACCGTGGGGGAGCTGTTACTCAGCCTTGGACACTCCCCCCTCCTCCTCAACTCCCCTGCCACCACCACTTCCCAGAGTGCAAAGAGACCAGCCAGATGCTTAATACACTTTATGAGGGATCCCAGGTGACAGAAGTGCTCAAGGACAGGAGCCCACATCTGGACAAGGAGAAATTATGCCAGGCCCTCCCCACCCCAGGTGTCTGTGGAGGCAGCCAAGCTCCTGGGTCCCTGAACCCCCAGGGAGGAGAGGGCTTCCTGCCAGACCCAGGCCCATCCCTTTACCATGGATGTCCTTGCAGCCCACAGGTGGCCACCTGTGAGCACCACCCAGAGCAGCTGCTTCTGCACCTGGGTACCCCAAGACGGGCCTTAGTCCAACAGGGTGTGAGGACACGCCCAGACCCCTGTGCCTTCTTCCAGATGTGCGGGAGGGCCCTCTGGACACAATGAGCCTGTCACCTCCTGGGGACAGGAGCTTGGGCACAGGTATTCACAAGGACCCAGACAAGAGGACTGGGAGTGTCCAGTGGGGATCCCTATTGAGGAGAAACATTGAGATGGGCAGAGAGGGCTGAAGAACACGTCATGACTGAGACATTGACACCACTGAAGCGTCTGCCCTGGGGACTGCAGGTGCTGACCCCACCAGGCCAGGTTACTGGGAGTGGGGACTCAAGGGCTGGGCTGCACCTCCCTTCTAGGAACATTCCCTCCTCTCCCCTCCCTTCTAAACACAGGACCCTGGGCAGCAACTTCACTGGCCCAGACCAGTCCCTATCCTTCGTGCGTCCTCTCAGTGTCCCCTCTGGCGTTTAATTCACCCAGGGGGTGAGCCAGGGACTCTCATATCTTAAGCCAGAGGCTGCAAAGCCAGCGTGGAGAGGCCAGTCAGCCCTTGGCAGAAGGGAGAGCTGATGGGACCACGGGGTTAGGGAAGGGTTAAGCCACAGGGCCCGGAGGCACTCTGTCCTGCACTGCCACGGAGAGAAGCCAGAAGTCCAGATTTGATGTGAACTGTCCCGAACTGAAAATATAAGCAAATAATTCAGATTTTTGGAAAACACTGCAATCTGAGTGGCAGACAGCCCGTGGAGAGCAGCAGGTGGCCCTGGCCTTTAGGAGCTGACTCATTTGCAGGGGCTGCCCCAGAAGCTGTGGGGCGGGGGTTGTGCTGGCCTCTGCCCCTTTCTTTCTTCATCTCCCTTCTCACTCGGTCCTGGTCGTGGGCCCCCACTCCTCCCACCCCCTCCCCCTCCTCTGCCCGCCCCTGCCATAAGGCAGCCTCCTCAACCTCTCAGGCTTCTCTTTCTGGAATCACCTCCTCCCTCAGAGAGGGCGATCCGGCCTTAGAGCTCAGCTACACTCTGACACCCTACATCCTGGGTGGCCAAGCCTCCATCACATTGGGGTGGGGGACAGTGGCCTACAGATGCTGGCCAGGCCTCACGGAGAGTCATAAAGAACTCACTGGCCCTGCTTGCCTCCCCCACACGCGCGACGCCCTCCGACACACTTGCTAGGGTCCCAAGCCCACTGGTGACACTGAGACACTGTCCCATCACCTGGGGCTGCTGCCTCCGGGGGTGCGCGTGTCTCTGTCTCTCTCCCACGAGGGTCGCTCGCACCAACTACAAAGGAGGAACTGAAGGTAAAGGTGAGCCCAGCAGGACACCGCCTAGCCGGGTGGCAGAGCACAGATCACACGGTGAAGCGGCGCCGCCTCTGCCAGAAGGGGCGCTGGGGGAGCGACGATGGTGGGGCCACACTCGGCGGCGGCGGCCTCGCCGGCTCGGGGTCCTACTAGCGCCACTTGGGGGGCAGCCTCCTGCCGCGACGAGCCTTCTTCCCGCGGGCCGCCTTGGAGCCGGTGGGCGGCTGACCCCTGGCCTCGCCGGCCTTGGCGTGGGCCCCGGCTCCCGCCTGCCCCTTCTTTTTCTTGTTTCCCGCTGCCTCCTCCTTGGCTTTCTTCTCGGGAGTGACGCCCCGCCCGCCGCGGCCTCGGCCGCCCCCTCGGGTTTTGCGGGACCCGGGAGGGGCTGGGGCCGCGGCCGCCGGTCCCAGGGCCCTGGAGGCTGTGCGCGCCCGCTTGGCCCGGGGCTTCCTGGACTCTCGGTCCTCGGGCTCCGACTCCTCGCTCTCCGTGTCCTCGGACGCCTCCTCGGAGCCTTCCTCCGAAGCCCGCTCCGAGTCCTCCTCCGATTCCGCGTTCTCGCTAGCAGCCAGGAGCGCCAAGACCTCCCCCAGGTTGCCTTTGGCGCACTTGAACTTCCCGCCTTCCCAGGCCTTTTCCTGCTCGTCCTTCATCACCTCCGCCACGTCCTGGGCAGCCAGCAGCGCCACGAGCTCCAGGAGGCCCCCCTCATCTGCCTCCTCGTCGCCCCAGCCTGCCAGGAGGCCACGCCGAGCCTTCTTACCCCTGGCGGGGGTCTCGGGCTCAGCCAGGGTGGAAATGCATTCCAGCAGGTTCCCGTCGTCCCTGGCCTTCCTCAGGACCATGGCGTCCACCTGGCGGCCCGCCTCCACCACCTTCACGCGGGTGCCCGACGTGTCCTTGGACATGACGGACAAGACCTCGGGAAGGGCATCTTTTTTGTCTTTATTGTCGCTCCACCCCAGTGACTCGATCACAGAAGCGATTTTCAGCATCTCCTCCCTAGCGGAGGGGTCGGAGGGGTCCGTATACGCCACAATGGCCACGAACTCGGGATTGTCCACCCCCTCTTTGTCTTGGTCCCCGGTTTCCTGCGACTCGCTCTCTGAAGCGTCACTGTCCCTGGGCTCTTCGTCCGACGTCTCTCTCACAGCAAGCAGGGCCACTAAGTCGGGGACACCACTCCCCTCTTCTTCGATGTTGAGACTGATCGACTCAGCCCCAGGGGGCTCTTTCTCCATCTCCTCCTTCTTGGCTTTGTCTGTCACTGTCACCAGGGCCAAGAACTCGCGGGGACCCTCCGCTTCCTCTGCTTCGCCCTGGAGCACCGACTTCTTAAAGAGCTCCTTGGCGGCGGCCTGGAGCGTGGCGTACAGCGCGCCCTGATCGCCGTCGCCGCCCAGGTCCTCCTCGCTGATCTCCTCGATCACGATGCCCAGGCTCTCTTCCGAAGAGTCCTCGGACTCATGCCGCCCCGAGGTAGGCGGCCGCCCCCCTCGGCCCCTCTTCCTGCCCCTCTGAGTCAACCTGTTGCCTCTGGCTCTGCTTCTGCGACCCCGACGGCCCCTCCTAGCGTTCCTGGCGGCGCCGGGAGCGGGGTCAGCCTTCCTGGCCGCCGGCTCCGATCCCTGGTCCTGGGTGTCCCAAATGGGAGAGGTGGGCGTGTCCCCGAGGTCCCTGGTCACTGTGGCTTGCGCGGGCCTTTCATCTAGCAGCAAGCGCTTCATCTGCCTCAAGACTCTCGTGTCCTCGGCGCGGTCCCTGCACAGAACCCTCCAGACGCCGTCCTTGCCCGGGATCTCCCTGGGGATGGCGGCGTGATTAATGTCCTCCACGAACTCCACCAGAGCGGCCTTGGCCTTCTCGTCCCTCATGGCCCTCGTGTTCCGCAGCCTGAACGTGCCCAGGGGTAGGAAGGCCGGCTGAAGGACGGCTTCAATGGCCGCCTGCTCCAGGCCCTCCGGGATACCGGTGACCAGCAGGGCCCTGTGCATGTCCACGTCCAGCCCCCTGCACCAGTCCCGCAAAAGGCTCATGGCCATGGTGCAAATCCCACCCTGGAACAGCGGGCAGCGCGTGGACTTCAGGTTCAAACGAATGTGGCCAGGCTCGGGGATTCAGGGCTCCAGCCGCCTCTGACCGGCTGACGCAGCGGCCTCTCCAGGGGCCCCCTCGCAGGGCTGTCCGAGATTCCGAAGGGGGCTTACGTGTCAGGCTCGGAGATGCCGCCGGTCCCGCCGCTCCGCCCTTTGTCCCGGCAGAGGCTTGAGGGACAGGCACCGGGCCAGGTGAGGGGCCGGGCGGCGCTGTCTGCGCCTGGAGCGGCGGGGGAGGGGAACCCGCAGACGCCGAGCTCCGGAGCGGTGTCGGGGCGCGCACCTTCTGCTCAAATTCAGCAGTTCCGCAGAGACGCGGCGGCTCGGTGCGGCGCCTGCGCACACGGGCTCGCCCCTCCCCCCCAGCTAGGCCCGGTCTCCATGGCAACGCGGCCAGCGGGACCTCTGGTCCTCTTCGCCCGGGTCGGAGGAAGAGGCTCTTAAAGGGCTAGAGGAAAGGAGGTCGCGTTGGGGTGGGGGGTCCAGTACCACCTACGGAGGTGAGCCCCCAAAAAGACCAAAATCACAGGGGGGTACTACCTATTCATAGGACAGAAGCCTCGTTCGGGAGAGTCCAGGCTTCAGCCGGGTGGCATGCCCCTCCACAGCGTACCGGTGGAATTCAGGACGTAGACACCAAAATTCCAGGCTCTGGGCTTCCGCAGTGGGACCAGGACTCACGCTTGGGCAAGAAACCTTGTTCAAAGTTTATGGGCCCCACTCTGTGGGAACAGACTTCGTTGCCAAGAGGACACAGGCCTCACCTGGGGGGTGCCAGGCCTTCTTCAGTGAGACCAGGCCCCGCTGGCTCTTGAGCATGCTCCTGTAATTGCAGTGGTGCGCCTGCACTTTGGGTGGTTTGTCTGTGTGTCCCATCATCAGTGAGATCAGACATGGATTCCGCAGGAAGACATTTCCCCCGACTGGGACATGTGGATACCACAGCTCCTGTACACACACTTTTGCTTCACCATCCTTTGCCCCCACCTCTGTGCAAATCAGGCCGGTGGACCAGCTGTTGGGTTTGTACCCGCTTCCGCAGCTGTGACTCTGGGAGGGTTCCTAGCTCCTGAGGGCCTCCAACCATCCATCTTCTCCTCGTACTTGCTGAAGTCCACATTTATTCATGAAAGAATAGGTGCAACAATCTGTCCCCATAGTTCTGTTCTCTGGCTGCTCCATCCTCCAGAGGGAGCCCCCATTCATTTCCTCTCCCGGTCGGGTGCAAGTGGGCAGAGTGAGTGGGTGTATGGTAGTCCCTGAAGCCAGGAGAGAATTAGAGATTCAGAAATTTCCAGAAAAAGACACAGCATCCAAGAAACTGAAGCCCCTGGGCATTGCAGAAGCTCCAGGGCAGAGGATCAGCATAGGCCTTGAGCTCTGTGAGCAGAACATCAAACGCACACCAGCCAGGCAGGGTATTGAGGACCCCAAGAGGTCCTGCCTAGTTTCTCTTTGGTATTTGCCCTGGAGTCATTGTCCATGCTTGGACCAACATGTGACATGATTGGCTTAACCACTGCCTCCAAGGTTTCCATGGAAACAGCTGGAAAAAAAGGGCATACAAAATGTTTTGCAAAATTCTTCTACCTCCCTGTGTTTGAGGGAAAAAAAAGTGAGTCTGCTTGATAACTGATAGTAGTGCTACCGGAGCAGGGGTTCTCAAAGTGCGGCCCAGGGACCCCTAGGGGTCCCCAGGGACATTTTAGGGGATCCATGAAATTATAATCTAAGAATCTAAGCTATTATTTGCCTTTTTCAGTCTCATTCTCTCAGGAGAGTTGAGTGGAATTTTCCAGAGGCTACATGGAGTGCCATATTGCCACTGACTGAATGCAGAGGCAGTTATGAGCATCCAGCCATCTTCTGTTGAATCAGACGTGAAGATTTGCAAAAACATAAAACAATGTCACTCTTCCTGTGAATTTGTTTTGTTTTAGAGAATATAGCTATTTTTAAATATATATACATGTCATTTATGTCAACATGTAACATGTTTGTTAATGAATAAGTCGAAATTCCTCATGTAGTAAATACCAACAGAACAGCCACATAAACAAAAGCTTTTTGGGGGTCCTTGATTATTTTTAACAATTTAAGAGGTCCTAAGACCAAACAGTTTGAGCTGTGTTAGCGATTACAATGCAATGTTCTTTGGGGTCCCCAAGTAAGAAAAAGATGACTTGGGGTGATGGGCACTTTTCCCCATGGGTTATAATTGAATTGTGGGAGTGAAGTGCATGGCCCCTTTGTCCCCTCTCTGCCATCTTTCTGCTCCCCTCTCTCCAGCCTCGTTGCCAGGGAAACCACATCAGCACATCCTCGATGCAAAATGCATTTAACTCCCTGGTGTCTGGATCATGCTGGCACGCGTCCCTTTCAGGACATTCATACTCAAGAAGCTGTCATCTCCACCTGCCTCCACAGGCGTTTAAAATGCAGTGAGCCTCTACCCCATTCCTCCCCCACCCTGGGAACCTCTTTCCACTGCGTGTTTTTTCATGTCTGTCCTTTTATTCTCATGTGTTCTTGCTAACTGTGAGCGTTTGTTTGGTGGCATCCATGCCATATTTGTATAACTTGTTTTAAAGTGGTCGCCCTCCTTTGGTTCTCATGTTTTTAGGACTTGGTGGTGACGTGTCTCAGAGTGATCCCACTTATATATTTTGTCTGTAATCTCACCAGCTGAGCGGTGCTGCAAGATAGACATTCATCCCATTTTATATTTTTGTTGTCCACTCTTCCAAGAGAAAACATCGATGACAGTTTTACAATATGGCTGCAAGTTCTTTGACCCCTCTGCGGGTGGAGTCCACATCCCTTTTTCTTGAATCGGAACCAGCACAAGTTTGTGACTGCCTCAACCGATAGACTCTGGCAGAAATAATGCTGTGGGTCTTCCAAGGCCAGTTATAAAAAGGATTTGGTTGAAATTTAGCTGCCATGTTGTGAGCAAGCCCATCTCACACTGAGAGACGACAAGTGGGTGCTCGAGTCAACAGTTGCAGCTAAGCCTAGTCTTCATGTCATCCTAAATCAGGCACCAGACATACTAGTGATGAGGCTTCTAGATGATTCCAGACCTTAGCCATTAGAGTCACCCCAGCTAAGACCTCAGAAACTGGAGCTGGGGGAAACCCTCCCCATTGTGCCCTTTCCTGATTGCTGATCCACAGAATCCACAAGCATAATCAAACGTTGTTGTTTTATGCTACTGAGTTTGGGGTGGTTTGTTATGCAGCAAAGGTAACCCACACCCATCTCCATCTTCTTCCCCACCCCCCATACACACACACCACAAAAGGTGCGATAATCAATGTCCTTGCACACATCTCTTATGGTGCTGGGTGAGACTATCCTCAGCATATGTTCCAAGAGCAGATTTTCTGAGGTATAGGGCCTGCATATTCCCACTCTCCCAAGTCCTGCAAGTTGCTGTGCCAGGACTGTCCCTGTGCATTAGTGCACAAGAATTTCTGTGCCCCTGACACTGGACATTACCCAGCCTTCTAAGATCTGCCTGTCTAATGAGTACAAAGTGGTGGCTTGTTGTTCTCTGAATACAAATAAGTTTGCACCTCTCTTTGTTAGTTTTTTTTGGAATCCCCTTCTGCAAATTGCCTGTTCATGCTTTTTGCCCATTTTCTCCATCAGTGTTTCTACTTTTACTGCCACAACTGCAGGCTTCTAAACAGTGTTCACAGCTGTATTCCTGGAGGCATTTTTAAGTTCTTGTGGCTCCAGTAATAAAGACACTGGTAAATATGAATACATTTTTCTATTACAGAGACAGGAATATGGTGCTCAATAAATATTTTATTGAAGGAAGGAAGGAAAGAAGGAGTCACATCATCACATACCTTATACTGAGGGTGCATTTGTACCAGACCTTGACTATAAAACCCTTCATTACGTTTCTTCATAATCTTCACCCCAAATATGTAAAATCATGACCATTATTCTCTATTCTCCAGATGAGAAATCTCAGGCTGCATGTGGGGGTGGTGTGTGTGTGGCAGGGAATCTGCACAGCTGAGAAATAGGGATTTGAATATACATCTTTGTAACTCCAAGTCTTCAATTCTTTTTTTCCAGCTTTATTGAGGTATACTTGACAAAAAAGAACTGTACATTTTAAAGTACCCAATGCAATGACTTGACATCCAAATCTGTATATTGTGAGATGATTACCACAAACAGGTTAATTAGCACATCAACTGTCTTACTTTTATCTGTGATGAAAATACATAAGATCTTCTCTCTTAGTAAGTTTCTAGTGCACAACACAGTATTATTAACTACAGTCACCATATGTACATTGCATCCTGAGGGCTTTGTCATCTTGTAATGGAAGGCTTGTGCCCTGACTAGCACCTGCCATTGACCTCCACCCTAGTCCTTGGTGACCACCATTCCACTCTCTGCTTCCATGAGTTTGATGTTTTTTCTGACCCTCTGATTCTAACAGCAATGCCAGACAGACTTTCTGGGCACTCCCTCTCCTAAGCACTCATTCATTCATTCATTCATTCATTCATTCATTTATTCATTCACCAGACACAGAGAACCCACACCTGTTGGGATGGAGCTGTGACCCATCAGACCAGAGCCTGGCTGACATTGTGGACATCAAGATTTTAACAGCACACCAAAACACACTTAATTTACAGTGGTAAAAGGACTGAATAAATTACCTCACACCTTTATGCAGGCTGTCATGTGCCCATTAAAAACAGCGACCTGGGTCCCAGTGCACTGCCTGTCAAATGGCCATGTTCTGTTGTGGACAGCTCAGAAAGCTACAGGACAAATGAGGTACAAAGCGTGTGACTCCATTCCCATCAAAATGGACATGAAATGTTCATTTCAACCCCATTCAAGCCTCATCATGTTCCATCTTAGAAAACATTTAAAATATTTTTAACCTCCTATTAGCAAAAGAAAACAAAAGCTTATTTAAATTTCTGGAATGAAAAAGTGTGGATGTCAACTTAAAATATGCTGAGGGACAGGTTTTCAAAACACTCTTGGGCATCCTGAAAGCAAAGAGGGAGTGGCAGAGAGGAGGAGGGAGATGGGGGGCTGCGCCTTAAGTGGAGAGTTTGGTGGGAAAAGGCACCGCCCTGGAATTAAAGGAAGACTCAGCTGGTGGTGAATCGTAAAGCCCTTTTTGGAAAGGGGGGAAACTGAGGGAGGAGGCTCAGGGAGAGGGGGAGAGTCTGGGGCTGAAGCCCTGAGCAGAGGATCATGGGCATCTCCCCCCAGCATCTTTACCGCCCATTCTGCTCTCTGAATTTTTCCTGGAACAGTTCATCTTGAAGATGATTCTGTATCAGAACTCAGATGTGGGGTGGGACACACTGGTGACCTGGTGACAGCAGCAAGAATGTTCATTATTTTTAAGGCTAGGAGGGTTTCACGGGTGCCTGCAGGACCCAGCCCCCCAATTCAGCCCGTGGGTGCGTTTGGAGTTGTGGCCTCAGACTCAGCCGTATTTTCATGGCAGTAGCCCCAGCAAATAAGGGGTGTTGATTCTAAATCCACGTTTATCTGGACCAGCCCGGCTACCGTTGCCTTCACCAAGAGAACAAGGACAGAATACAGACGTGGAGGGGAGACAGCCTGCCTGGTTGTCGCAGAGGGGTACGGGGGTGGGGGAGGGCCTTTCTCTGTCGGGGTGGGGGCAGCTAGGAAGTACGGGGCTGACAGCAGATGCGGACAGACGCAGTAAGGAGACGGGGATGTGGAGTGGCTGCCTGGACTCATCCCCACCCCGTCACTCCCCACCAGGGCCGCCCTTACCTTCCCTGGGCTGGTTAAAATGGGGACCCTGCTCTCAGCGTCCTCAGGAAGACGGAAGAGGCTGTGCCGTGCTGGAGTTCGGAGCAGGCCAGGCGCCCAGCGACCCCCCAACCCCACCCGCCGCGGCGCTCAGCAAGCCCTCCCGAGGTTATTCTTCATCTGACCGTGACCGTGATGGGGGGGCGATGTGGAGATCACTGCCAACCCGCAAGGCGGTGTTCCTTACCCATTCCGGACGTTCAAACCCCTCGTAATCTGCCTCAGCTCAGGCTGCCCGCTCCCCTGCCCCTCTCTCCTCTACACCCGGCCTTCCCCTGCCCAGGATTTGGGAGACCTCAAGGAGGGGGTCCAACAGGTCTCTGGAGTCACACGGATGTGATTTGAGTCAAGCCAGATCGCCTGGGTTCAGATTCTAGAGCGGTGTGACCCTGAACATGTCATTCACCCTCTCTGAGTCTCAGTTAGCCCATTTGTAAAATGTGACAAGAGCGCGTAAACTTACTTTAAAACAATCAAAGCGCAGGTAGTAAGAGATATATAAATAACAGTCACTGTTGATCTTGCTGGTGGTGTTGAATCCCAGCTCCCCGCTTCAGGGCTGAATCGGCCGCAGCACGTATTTCGCTCCGCGCA